CGTAATGTATTATATAATATGCGCCTGCACATTATGCAATCCTTAATGAGTACCGGAACCCTACTGTCTGTGCAGGAACAGTGATCTGCAGATATAAGTGCAAGGCCTTTTTCATTGTTTCTCTTAATGCGATAAAGGCAAACTAAACAGTGGGTTATGCAAACAGTAAGACAGGAAATACATTCATGAAAAGAAAATTACTTCAAGTTGGTAACATGCATTTTTATTTTTTTACAATTTTACTTTGTGTTATTGCATGGTTTATAAAATACACCACCTCACAGGGAAAAGAATATAAACCATGAACATTAATGAAAGATTAGTCTGCTTTTTCAATTTATCTTGAAACTAAACTGTCATGAGTATGTTATAAAACTAACTATACCAGAGCTATACTGGGCTAAATCAGTAATAATCTGGAATTTCAACGTGTGCTGGAGATATAAATATGCAGGGTATGTTAAAAGGCATAGGAAAAAATAATAAATGCACACATAAATGAAAAAAAAAAAATTTAAGTTTTCATAAATGTTTGCATTGGAGCCCACAAAGCATTGCATCCTTGATCAGTGGATCACAGGTGCAATGCTCAGGTTCCTGCCTGCTATAACTCCAGCCCCAAGCCATATGTCTGGCGGAAATAATCAACTGACTACAAGTGTGGTGACGTCATCACACTTGTGCTCCACTGAGATCTACGAGTTCATCTTCCACAATGGCAGATTGGACTTGTACTCTTTACATTCTCAGATCTTGTGGTTGTAGGTCGTGGCTGTGCAGGCGGAGTCATGTCAAATTCAAAAGTATACATAATGCTGCAGGGAAAAGTTAGGCACCAGCTGCAATTTTTATGGAGCATTGCTTACCTGGCTCCTGGGATTTGTCCAGCCTTGGTGTAACATGAAAGGTGGTTAGAAAGGTGGACTATTCTTTTTAAAGTAAAACTAAACTCAAGAGTTAAAAGCTTAAAAATGCATTCAGGTACCTTAACTATTAACAGAAATGTACCTAATGTGTGTATTATTTAGCTGTATGTCCTCAAACTTTCTCTGAATCGGTGGTGACACTGTTCTTGCTTCTGGAGGGTGACTACTTTGTTCCCCATGGTCCCTTTGTGTGTTGTAAAGTAGCCACCGCTCCAGGCTCGCTTCCGAAATAGACTACAATCTCAAATTTAGTTTACTAATTTGTATTGCAATTATAGTCTATTAGGGGAGTGAGCTTGAAGCGGTGGCACAGGGACCATGGGGAACAAAAGTAGCCACCTTCCAGAAGGAAGGGCAGTATCACCTAAAATTCAGAGATGATTGGTGGATCTACAGCCGAGTGATACACAAATAAGGTACATTTTTGCCTAATGGTTAAGATACATGAATGTATTTTTCAGATTTAAGTTTTGATTGTCATGTTAACTTATTAAGAGTGCATGACAAGAATCAGGTGGATCAACTGTATATGAATTAATCAGCAATACACACTAAAGCTGGCTACACTGTAGTCACTTTTTAAACAAGAATTTTTAAGCCACCTTCTTTGCAAATAGTAAATTGAAAAAGCGATTTTTGTAAAACAGATCACGACATGGACACCCACTCTGCTGAAATTTGAGCAGTGTATCGCCAACTTTAGTTAAAAAACTGGGTCATATCTTTCCTAAAACTATGTTTGCTTAAAACAAATAGTGTTTATATATCACAAAAAAACTGATTAGTCTATTTAAAAATGACATATCAAGCCAAGCTCTACCTGAAATGAAATAGCAAAGGCTTTAAGGTTCCTTTCACAGTTTGTCCAGAATTAAATGTACAATCTATCTTCCTAGTACCTTGTGTTAGACTATTTCTATACTAAACATAATAAAATCAAATTTGAATTCCATGTGGCACAGGATGCCTGCACATACCTCTAGAAATGTTATACAATTTCCAACCTCAGCAAACTAACTGTTTGCTCCTTCCTTCTAACAGATTTCCTTACTGGCCCATGAATATGAAAGATGGCCCAACTGCCTAACCAGGAGGCAGGGGAAGTGTGGACCTGCTGAACATGGAATTTGGATTTTAGAGTGATCCAGGTGTTAAGGTGCCCATGCACCTTGCGATTATCGTTCGAAAAACTAACGCAATCGGGTTTTCGTACGATAATCGGCCAGTTGATAGGTAGTGAACAAATCACAATTACTGTACAACTGGGCGAATTTCCTTGATCAGTCAGGCTGGAAAACCTTTTTCGAATCATACAAAATTCGATAGATTAGTGGTGTTTTCGAACGGAAAAAAATCGCAACATGAACACTGCAAATGCGCAAACAAAAATCCATTCTGTTGATCGACAAAATTCAGCCAATTAGTATTGCTAACGAACGATAATCAAAATCTACATGGGTCTATGCATGATGGGGTATTCGAGCAGAAATCGAACAGGGGTTCTATGACGGCGGGACCAAAGAAATCGAACGATAATTGTAAGGTGTATGGCCAGCTTTAGGGCCCTCCCAGGAGTTCTGAGAAGCTATGATCAGACAACTTGAGGCACTTGCAATAAATTTTTTGTTTAAGTTTACTCTTTAGGTGTAGCACAGATTTGTTTTCATGTATCCAAGCTGTATTCTGTAAGGTACTCATAGGTCTGTGCTTAAAGAGACTGTCACTTTAAAAATACTGAAATATACTTATAGGTATGACGTGTAGGTATCCAAACGTGTCTGCTTATACTTGCAGCAGGTTTTAGTATCCTCTGATTTGCCAGAATGCTGAGCTGGTTTGATCAAGCTAAGATTTAGCACTTCCTGAGTTGGAATTTGCATAAAAAGAGTTCCCCAGGTGTTAGGGCCCCACCAGGGAGCTGTGAAGACCTATCAAGGGTTTACATAACTAAAGCAGAGGTGTGGAAGCTATTCTGGGGCATGGGTCATATGGTATATTCGGAAGGGTAGGAACAATGTTCTGGCAAAGCTGCTAATTGGATGACTCTGCATGACTGTCGGTCTCCTAAGCCATTCCAGGGGAGACCAATGCACAACCAATTGCTGATCAAGTAGCCCCCCCACCAACTGGAGGGAGCTTTTTTCTTCTTGAAGGGTAAATGTATGTTTAACAAAACACTACTATTAGCATAATGTTGCCTTGTATTCAGAGCACAGGCTATCTTTGATTAACTGAACCACACTTAAAGGAGAACTATGAGGTGAGTGATTTTCACTCATCCTTATAGTTAGAGTCGACCTGTGACAAAGAAGCTGTCACAGGTCGGCTCTATCGATCGGGAAGTAGGCATAAACATGCCGCCGATCCGCTGACTTCCCGATCGTCTCCCTGCAGTGACTGTCAGTAACCGCTCCCCGCAGGGATTCCCCCCCCTCCCCTCTTTGATCCTCCAGCGCTAAGTGGAGGAACGAGCGGGGGAGGGGGTGGGCACAGCTGGCTCTGCCTCTAGATAGGCAGAGCCAATTGTCACTCAAGCAACTGGGTGGATCTTGACAGTAATGTTGGGATCCATCCCGGCTGCGGCCCTCTCAGTATATTAAAGGCAATAGCCCGCGATATACTGAGCTGTGGGCCCCGGGAGGAGGTTACTATATGTCCTCCCGTGACCCTAAAGAGAACTATGGGGAAAATCACTTACCCCATATTTCTCTTTTAAGTTGCATGATTCT